AGAAATTTTAATGGTCAAAATATTTGCAAAACATAAATATAAAGAGTTTTGATAATATTTATATGTAGAGAATAATATTATAATTGAACAGTTTTTGCCATGAGTCTTGATGATGTTGAATTTTCATTATCTAGCTTTTTGAAAAGTTTATGGCATTCCGATTAACTACCGTATGGAATTTCAATTAGATTGACCAAAGTTATCTTTGAATAACTATTTTTTGTTTCGCGTGATTTCTTATCATTTGTGTTCAAAGACGATCGACTTATAGCAACTATCTGTTTATTTTTGAGCAATCCGATTGGAGAAAATAACAAATAGCAGAAACAAGAAAATGAATTTATATGAAAAAAAAAAACGTTGAATTTTTCAATTACAGTCGACTTTCATATTATGCATTTTGTTGCTGTTAATATAGGTACCAACTTTAACTTCTTTGATTGATGTTTGTTGTTGATGAATAGCTCGAATTTCGAAAGGTGTCAAACATTGTGTCAAAGCATCGAGATCAACAATACGACCATTGCTAGATGCTTCTGAAAACTTGTCAGATTTGTAAGATAATACAATATTAATCCGAGAATCACTTAGCTCCATCTGGTTGCAAGATAAATGATATTGACTGATTTTTGAAACATACTGTCCATCGAGCCATATTTGATAATAGGACTGTAGATCAATTTTGTTCAAAACAATATGAATCCATCGATACAAAATTCCAATTGTTGAAATGATAATATTTTTCATCATTACAGACCAAGAAATTCAGACGTTCGACGTTCAAATTTCCAATTTCTATATTTAATTTCCATTGACGAGGTAAGAAGAGCCAGAACGAGAAAGAATGAGATGAGTCAAAGAGTCGTAAATAATACTGATGTACAAAATGATATTCATAATCAGATAAATATCTTGAAACAGTTGAAGGTGAATAATTACATCCACTTGATTGAAGACTAATAGGAAATAATGATTGATCGATATTTAATATTGACTGTTGTTTATGACTGCTGACGTAAGAAGAACTCAACATAGTATATGATTTTCTCGAATGTTTCAATGATCGAGAAAACCATTGATTAAGAAAATATTCGTCATTCATAATGAAAGATCGCCAATGACTACAGACGCAAGTCATTCGAAAAAGATCTAATGATCGATCAATATATCCAAGAATATAATGTAATAACTCGTACGGCAACCCACGGAAAAATTTTTCAACAAATACCGCTACTAATCGCGGTTTAAAGAGTCGCGTTTCTGACCGGTTAAAACGAACCGCGGGAGTCAGACCGTTTGTTAGGTTTATACACACCGCCTGAAAACCGCGGCTTTGAACGGTTTTTGAAAAAAAATGACATCTATCCTAGTTGTTAACTAGCTGGGATCGCGGTGCAACTTCGGTCTCATTACGGTGATCTAATACCGCGATCAACCTGTATAATACTACCGATCATATAAATTTTTTTGCTTCAAGTGAGATTCGAACTCCTTACCTTATAATCACAGTTTAATAATTCCATTGAACCATATGGCGATGTTTATAGAAGCATCAAATACAATACTCTTTCTGATTTAAATTAAAAAGTCTAAGATAATAGTGTAAACAACAAAGTAGAGAATTTCTTTAAAATCTTTAAATTTTCCTGTGCTATTGTTATATTTTTAAATAACTATTCGCATTAATTGCAACGAATTGTGTCTGTTTATATTTCCTCATACATTAAATTAAGTTGAGGAATTTCAATTTAAAATAAATGTTTATTATAATAAATTTAGTTTTTTTTAAGTTAAATTATTTTAATTTTGTAATTTCTAAAATTAGAAATTAAACTATTCTATTTCAACATCACATTTATCTAAAACTATGTATTAGAATTTTTATTCAACAAACAGGAGCTAATCTACCAAAGGATCGTACTTGGTATCAAAATGAGTTTGTTAAAGAAGAGCCAAAAGTGAGTTTCTGGTTAGCGAGATGCTTTAAATTCTTTTCTCATTTGAGACTTTGAAAAACTTTTCGCGAACTATTCGTTGTAGGTATGCCAGCTTTTATTTATAAGTAAATTAAATTAACAGTAATTTAAATTTGAAATAAATTTTACTTTGTTTTTCTTCATAGTTTAAAATTAAAAAATGAATTACTGTTAATTTAAATTTATTTTAAATTAACAGAAATGAAAACCCTAATCCGAATATCACGATTCGTCCCATCAGGTAATTGTAATTGCGTTTTAAAACTTTTTGTCGTAACAACAGTGCTTTATAGAGTCGAACTGTAATATTAATCAGAAAGTTTCTGTCTAATAAAAAATCAATATTTTATCGAACCGCGACTCTATCTATCAAAACCGCGGTAGCAGATTATGAAAACAGGTGGCGTTGAAAAACCGAGGTTCGGACTGCGATTATTGTGGTTTGACTAATCGTGTCTTTCAAAGGTATCCAGAAATCGCGGTTTATAAGAAGGTTTTCGCAAAATATAAAACCGTGAAAAATGGCGATTTGAGATACCGCAATTCGTTTTGAACATACCGAGGTCTTCTGGAACCACGGTTTTCAGCGGTAGAAGCAACCGCGACCTTATTTGAGCATACAGCGGTAAGTTGTGATCGCGGTGTAACTAACCGCGGTTAATTGCGGTCTTTTTTATCAAATCGCGGTTTATAAGGAAAAACCGGTGGTCTTTACAAAAAATCGCGGTTGACAGCGGTATTGGTTAGAATTTTTTTCCGTGGGAATCGATCCATTTTATCTCTTGTTATTCGTTTCGTCTAATAAAATACTATATACACAATTATCGCTGTGTATATATATATAATCGTTCGTTGTCAATACTATATATAGATATCGGACGTGTATTGTTCTCTTAGTCAATTATTAAATAATGAATGTCGACACAACAAGAGATGTGAACAATGGTGATAAATGGAAGCATGATTCTATTTAGAAAATTTGAAATTTTTGTATAATTTTCGGCCAATCAAAAAAATGGTTTTCCTTCGTTGATTATTTGACAGACGGAAAACAATCGATTTGAATAGTTTCATGAAATGGGATTGAATAATTATATTTGCAAGTATTCAATAAATTAATAAAATAATCTATTCTTTCAAAAAGGAAATCAAAATTTATTAATTTTAATTTGAAGAATTTCTATCTCTCTCTCTCTCGAATGCTAATTTAAAAACCATTGATGGAATATTCTTATGAACGAGAGCAGGCTCTTTTTTCTTAAGTTTTATTCTTTCATTTTGTAAATTTCAATGAAATGTGTACAGTGTTTCAGATAATTTTCTTTATTCATTTAGTACTTATTATGTTATACAAGTTTTTGTATGATTATTATTTTTTATCTATCGTAAGATGAATTCAATGAATTAATTAGAATGTCTTGATTTCATGACATAATAGTTTTCTTCGCCATTACGAATGTATTTTCTTTATTATCTCAATAATTTTGTTCATAAATACAATAACTAAGAAAAAGAAAGAATTATTACAATTATCAAGTCCTTCAATCATTTATATTCATTAGAGCAAGAGAAAAAAAGTATCGTATCCCAAAAGATTCGGATACTTTTCAACTGAGTTTCATTGGACTTAAGTGAACTTTTTTTTTAATTCTGGTAACTTTTAACAGACTTTGATCATCGGACGAATCCACTCTGGGATTTATCGGGCTCAAGGATCCGCTTTTTTTCTCTTTACAGTAGAGATCTTCATCTTGTCGTAAATAATATACTTTTACAAAATGTTTCTATGCGATAAATGTTACGACATTACTCATATGATAGAAATCTTCCATGAATATTATATTTTAAAATTTGAAAAAATGTTTTCACTCTCACAAATATATATATATATCAATATTGGTCAAAAAAGCGGACATTAGATCGAACAAGACTTTGTAAGATCTTATGAAAAGATCAATCAAGATTGTACTCTCAATACGAATGCGGATATGAGTTGAAGTGAACCGAAGGTCCACACTCATACTCCACTCGGACTAGCTCTGATGTTATTGTGAATTGGGCAAGCTCTTTAGTTCGTGTCGTATTCGTTGATATACCTCATGATGCGAGGGTTTTCTGGGATGCGTTTTTTAAGAGTGTATATGAAAGTAGACGATTTGCTACTTTTGTTTAAACTATGAAAAATTGGAAGATTTCGTTTTGAAGTCTGTTAATTTAGAGTTTTTCAACTTTACGCACATATGTTATACCATCTGATGATTTCTTTTAATTAAGATGAAATTGCGATAGTGGTAGTTATATTTTCATACTCACCCATCGTCATTAATCCTTATACATTGTTCTTCGATCTGTCTTTTAAGTAATGGCCGTTATAACAAAGAATGACGCTGTTGTGGTTTCATCTCTATTTACTATAATAGAAGCTATTGTTTCCTAAACATTACTTGGCGCTTTACTAAATCAAACATTTTGCTTGTGCTTCTGCTCAATTTATCCTATTTGCTTCGCAAGTATAAAGAAATAAATACAAATCCTCACGTGCAGATTACTAGATTCTGTCTCTAAGATTTGGCAGATAATATTTGATAACAAAAACCTTAATACATAAATCAAAAAAGTGAAAGTTTGCATAAAAATATGAGATTCGTTTATATGATTTCACACCTCAATTTGCTATATTCCTTGTCGATAAGTCTACCCACAATCCATCGGTCAGCTTTGATCCTAATAACTTGACCATCAATCCAACAGCAATCGGTCCAAGAATTGTATTTAATAATATAGCCCAAATTGTAACGATGAATGCTTCTGCTGATAAGATACTTGTTGAAACACCAATATTTGCAATTAGAAAACCGATTTCACCACGAGACACCATGCTTAAACCGACTATCAAAGCACGATAAATACTTTTGGATTTTTTCAGTGATTGTGGTAGTGGTAGTGACAATGAAGTAGTTGTTTCGATTGGTTCGTCTTGAACAGCATTAGCGAAGAAAGAGAAATTCCGATGAGCGATGAGTGTAGGTGTTGAAGAAGATGGCAGCGTTGACACTCGTTCAATCATTGATATTTCAATCTATAAGTAAGAATGTTTATGCTTAAAATACAGTGCCATTAGTAAGTTTAATTTGAAATTTGTCATAGAGAAATTTTTCCTAAGATGAGCTGTTAAGTCTTTAGAAGATAGAATTAAACAAAACAAGTTTATTTTATTGCATTCAACATACCGGTGTTGTCAATGATACATTCACTACTCCTTTCTTTGAACGAGGTGAACCACACCCTTCACGGCGATTCGGTTTTCCGAGGAAAATAACTTCAACATATTAATTTTTATGCGTGTTCGTGCTTGATAAATGTGTCCATTGATATTTTCAGTCT